GGTGAGGGGCCGCGGCGGCGGCAATGCCCGCCATGGCCGTCGCCTCCCGGTGGGCGCAGGCGGTTTGCCGTGCCGAGGGAAGGCCTGGAGCAGTTAATTTCGAGCAGCGCCAGCAGGCGGGAGCAAGCTTCGCTCTTGCTCCACAGCTGTGTCCGGCCTGTCACGGTAGTGGGCCTGTGCTGGGGCCTTGAGGCTGCTGCTGAGGAGGGAAGAAAACCCAGTGTGTGAAAATCATACTTTCTTTTGTACCATCAGATCGGTGTATCCTCATTCTTATGTACAAAAAAGTCTGCTCACCTTAGCAGAGAACAAAGTACAGGTGTAATTCATTGGCATTGGTAAATCCACTGGCCAGAATTATTCACACACAAATCCACTAGTTCTTTCAGTCCACGTTTTATTTCAGCATCGAAGCTTTCTCAAAAGGGGATTTTATCCCTCAATTTTCACAATGTGGAAATAAACCCAGATCTATTTAAGATGACATTACAACAAAATAAAGATGAGACTACCTCCAGAGGTGAGGCACTTGTAGCACGCATGATAAAAAAAGCAGGGCAGGCCAGCACTGACCATCCCTTACTGTGCCCCCCTCGTTTAAATAGCAGTGGCAGGTAATGCACATTTGCCGAACTCTTGATTTAAACCAAAACACACTTTTGATTATTTTTCATTAGTTTTGATTCAGCGAACTGGAGTCCATAATCCTTTGACATGAAAGGACTGTATTGTTCTTCCTAAAGGAAGAAACGGAAGCTGATCGGAATCGCCTGCTTTTTCTAAAAGAGAATCAATTGGCTTTTGCAAGGCATAGTCGGGAGTGAACCCACAGAAACTGGTGCATCCCTTTCTACAGCAGCAGCAAAGCTGCCTACTTTTTAAGAGTGAGAATGGGTGTTACTAGGATTCCATGTACATGGTCACATGCTTCAGGATTTCATGTGGAAATTTATTTACAGCAATTCAGCACCACCTGCTGGCATGACTCTTTCTTTTTTAAAGAAGCAGTCTAGAAGGTATAGTGGCTTGTTCTTTTAATTGGCATACTTTAAGTGCCCTTTGAACAGCCAGATTTTTTTCCTACATGAAATCTGACCCACTGCAGATATTTTAGACTCTTCAATATAATATGGAGGAGGGATGTCACCTCAGAATAAAACCACTTAAATCTGCAAATGAGATCATGTAGATAAATACTATTTCCCTCCACCCTACAAAAAGCTACTATTTTAGCTAGCAGCTCCACTAATTTATCTATTTAGTTCATATATCAGCTGTAACAGCTGACTACTGGCATTCCT